GGGGGGGGGGGAAGGGGAATCGAATCGAAATTGATTCGATTTCGATTTCCGAATCGAGGTGTTTTCGAATTGAAATCGATTCGGTATCGAAATTGAAGTGATTTCGATTTTGAGGTTGGCAAGTTCGGAGGCCGACGGGGAAAGGACGATGACGAAGGGGGGGAAACGAGGAGAAAGGAGGGACCAGGAGAAAGGAGAGAAGAGAGGAGAAAATAAGAGAAAAGCAGAGAAAAGCAGAAAGAGAGAAAGAAAAGAAAAGGGAAAAAAAAGTTGTCGGTTACTTGCCTGCGCGTCGGCTTTAGGATCGATGAAGTGGCAGCAACGACGACGAGGCGCTGACGTGGCAGCGATGACGACGACGAAGGCAACGATGATGGCGATGGCTAGGTGACGTTGAAGACGATGGTGGTGACGGCGATGGCGTTGGAGCGCTGGTCACTCCACCTTGAACAGGGAGGGAGGGAGGGCGCTTGTTCGCCGCTCCGATACCAATGTACGAGGCAGAGGCAGAGCAGCGAGGCTGGGAGAGAGAGGTAGAGTGAGAGCAGACACACAGGCTCACTGAACTCGATGCAGACTCGACACGACTCATCGGACGCAGACACAAAGTAATCTTGGATTCCGAACACAATGTCGCAGCAAGTCGCACTGAAGCACAAGCACTGAGGCTGAAAACAGAGGCCCGCCGCGGTTGCACCATCTGCGAACTGTAAAAACAATGGAAAACACCCTTGTAAGGGTGTTTGTCACGACAACGTCCAATCCCCAAAGTTCAAATTTGCAGCAGCCTCCCAACAACAAGTCGGGAACTTCCCAGAAATGGCAATTTGGCAAAGGCAGAGGCCTCAGGAGGCAGGTACCGATCGAAGCAGGCACGAACAGCCCACTGCAACTGTATATTTTGGTCTACAGTGCCGGAAGGCATTCAGTTGTTCATTTCGCGAAGTTGTGGAAGCGCTGATGAGCCTGTGCGATCAAATGACCTGGATGAAGGAGCACTAGGGGAGAAGAATTTAGCAACTGGCACTATTCAGTTGGCCATAGCCAGGCGAGAGGGGACAGGTTCCCCAGCGGCCATAGCCGCCGAAGATCAGCAAGGCACACCGTAGTAGCATTGAGGGTAGATCTAGGACGTTGAGAGAGAGAGAGAGTGTGTGTGTGTGTGTGTGTGTGTGAGAGAGAGAGAGAGAGAGAGAGAGAGAGAGAGAGAGAGAGAGAGGAGGAAGTCGGGTACATACTTGAGGCATGTTGCAGCGGTTCAAACCGCTTGTTCCTGAAATTTTTTCAATTTTGTATTATTGTATGTGAGTGGAACTTCGAATTTGCATTGTTCATGGACATTGCTTAAGCTTGTGTAACTTCCATCTGATTGCTCTCACTTTGCATGTTGTATTCTGAGTTGAATCTGCCGAGGTTCTCATTTCACTCCTTTGCCTTTGTTTAATTTTCAAACCCAGTTCTTCCTGTTTGTGGTTAACAGCAAACACACTCTTTTTTCGTTCTGAATTGTTACGCCTCTAAAGGAACCATTACAAATTGTCAAATGGCCCCTATTCGGGGGAACTTTCCCATCGCAAAAGTGTACTGACTGTGGTTGTTATGTGCGCCACTTCCTATGCAGCTCCAGGTGTTTAACCTCGTATCTCTAATTATTGAGCGCCTTGGGGACAAGATTGTCCCATGTGGACCAAAGATAATGGCATTCCTTCCGAAGGTCAGGTTCTCTTTGTGCTGGTGGGAAGATTTATGATCTTCATGCCATTTCGTCAAAGGATCGGTGTGTCTTTAGCTCAAGTGTTTGTGCTTGTGGTCTGTGGGGAGGTTGTGCTTGTCGTCTGTGGGCAGGCTTGACAGCAAACCAAGGTGGCCAAGGATCCACACGATTCCACGGGCATTAAGGGTGGCAACATGGGTGTGCCAAGAAATGCTAACACACCCTTCTGTCCTTCGGCGCATTTCCAGCAGGGTTGCAGTTTTCTCAATCGAGATTCAAGATGCTGGAGCCCACAATCCTTTCAATTTCTCGTGTGTTTGACATCTGTGAGCCCGCATCCAGGACTGGGGGGTTCAGAGCTGTTGATTGACTATGTCGATTGTGCGCAATTTAAGGAGGAGAAGCAATATTAGTTGACTGGTTCATTCACTTCCCTGCTATTGGAGGAGTAGGTGGGCGAGTAGAGGAAAGGGTCACAGCCACACACCTGGAAAGCCCTTTGAAATGGTTTTGACCTTTGCAGTAGCAGATGCAGAACGCAGGGCTCGATCCCTAGACCTCTTTTTCAAACGTGTACAGTACAGTTGACCCCTGTGTGTTTGAACCCGCGACCTGTGTTTTGGTAGTCGCTAGTTTGTCTGCGTAGCCTATTGTTGCATACCATAACGGTGCAGACCAGACCAAGAACCGACCTTTCTCGCCAGACACAAGATAGCACAGTGGAAGGCTTAAATACCAATGATCCGATCAATCAAGCTGCCATGCAGACCAGACATGCATCATCATCATTCCATGGTGTGAAGGGGGCTGACGCTCACACGGGAAGAATGCGTCAGTCCCCAATCATGCACAGACGAAGAAGAGGGGGATTAGACGAAGGGGAGGGGGAAGATGGAAATGTCGTCAACACCAAGTCTTTGGTGCAGTCCCAAATAATCCCTCGCCAAAGGTCTGAATCCCGATGCTGAGTCTGAACCCCAATGTCGTCAAATCCCAATATCGCCCATCTCTCTCTCTCTCTCTCTCTCTCTCTCTC